CGCGCCAACCTGTCGGTGTTTCGTACAAGCACGGCAAGTAAATTTATAATGTCTGGCGTTAGGCTCGGATGGTGCGCTAAAGGACACAAGATTTATCTTGGTTCGGGCCGAAAGTCCCTACGTCTAGTTTGTTCTTTGCTTTCGTGTTATTAGCACCGTGAACGGTTTGTAGTAAGGGGTACAAACGATCGAGAGAGGACTGGTCCCAAGTCTCTGATGGAAGGGTTGAAGGGATGTCAAGAGGTTCGACACCACTTGACTGTGTGTATCTGTCAGTCGTCTCGTTCGATCTTTTTTCTCTCTCTCCTTTATGGAGGAAGTGCATCCCCTTTTATAGATGAAGGGGATGGCTTTACAAGGGTGAGGGCTTTAGGATGCGTACTCTACTTAGTCTTGTGGCTCACGTCTACCCGGCCTGGTTCTTCATTCTGATGAGTGCGAAGGAAGATAAGCGCTTACAATACTATCGATGTCTCGTAGAATGTCGGGTTGGTTCTGAGAATGCTACCTACCTGCTTGCAGGTATGGGCCGCATGATCATGATGGTTTTGACTTTTGAGCCTCCCCCTTGCCTTGCTCCGCACGCCTTTACGGTTCCTATGAGTCTTCGTTGGAGGGACGCGGGGTCGGGGTCTGGAGTAGCGCCGTGGCCAAGGTCTTCTGTTTTGATGGACCTGAGGGGTCGGGAAGCGGGCGCCGCTCCCTTGGGTCCACAGCGTGGTGACGGAATATCCGTCGTTCGTGGAGATAGCAAATCCTTTTCTAGAGCATAGTGGTTGTTGTATATCTTCGTCGGGTTCCATGTCCCAGAGCTGAAGGCGACGCCTACAACTCTACAGGGTGGAGAGCTCGCACCTGTGACACCTTTCGGGCTCTACGGCGCCTGGAAGGGCCTAAAGCGCCCGTCCTGTCATCCCCTGGCAGTACTTTTCCTGCCAGGGTGCAGGGTATGGCTCTTGGAGCCACAGTTGACCTGAACGTCTTGTCTTGCCCTGTCTCTATCATCTTGAAGGAACAGGGAGAAGTGGTCAGGTAAGATGAATCCAATCTTTAGATACGGAGCAGAGTGAGGCTTGTTCCTTGCCGTCGGGCGAAGCGGAGACCAATCCCTATCTCCTAGGTGAGACCGACCCTGCTCCTCCGGGGTTGGGCGAGGCTGAGTCTATCCCTCAGCCCTCGGGCGAGACCGAGCCCGCCCTAAAGGCGTCGGGCGAGACGGAGACTAGCCCTAGGCCCTCGGGCGAGACCGAGCCCACCCCAAAGGCGTCGGGCGAGGTGGAACCAATCTCCTGTCACTCCCGTGAGGGGTGAAGCAACGCTCTTATGCGTCCAGAAGTTTTTAACGTTCGGTGGTTATTGGTTCCACCTTCTGGGGTACCCCGGTATTAGGTCCCCGACACTACCATACCAAGTTTTTTCTTTTTTCTTTTTTTTAAATGAGGGGGCTACTATACCAAGTTGTTTTTTCCTTTTGAGGGGGCTACCATACTAAGTTGGCATAGCTGAGCCAAAATTTTACTTTTGAGTATAGTAACTTTTTTAAAACTTACTCCCTCGGTCCCAAAAAAATTGTAATTGTAGAACTTGAGGAGCAAATTAAGGTAAGTGTAAAATGACCATGCTGCCCCTATATAAAGATTTCAGATGCATAGACAGAGAGAGTGACAGTACATACCGGTTTCGGTTCGCGACGACGAGCTGTACAAAGCGTTCAAGAAACATCCGTGAGAAAAAGAAATGGCCAGCAGGTCTTGTGTGGGTCCTACTTAATGTGATAGCTTACTATGACGGTATAGCACCTATGTATGCAAATTTTTTGGGACAAATTTAAACTCTATAATTGCAATATTTACGGGACGGAGGGAGTATTTTGTATATTAAATTAAAAATTGCAAAAATGTACCTGGCACCCTGAAATATCTCCCGACACCGTAGATTTAGGATCGGATAATCCTGTCTTTCTTATCTCTAAGGAGGTTTATTGCCTCTAAACAATACTCTTATGAGTATAATCTGATAACGAGGCTCAGCAACACAATCTACTATCCCACCAAATATTTTCCTCCTATATGGTATCATGAGTTTAAGTTTTGCTCTAAGCTACGAGATATTGCTTTCCCATGCCTTTAGGGAGCTTGATCTATGTCGGGAGCAACACCATCATCGTCGCTCTAGCGTGGGTCGTAGCAACAAATCGCTTAATTACCTCCTCTCTATGGTCGGCCTTCATCGTCTAGATATCCGCTGCTAGACCGTGCCTGGCCACCGTACCATTGTGGAGGCGACTGGGTCAGATCACGCCCCAACCATGCGTTTAGGCGCCACCACCGTCGACCTACGTCGTCGAGCCATCTGATCATGCATTGTCAGAGACGCCTCTGCTGGACGGCCATCGGTTCTGATTTGTTGCCCACCAATGAATTTAGGATCATAAAAGATGAACAGTAGCACTTCTATGAGTAAGCAGACGAGCCAACACTTCCACTCTCACCTATGCATTTAGGATCATAATAAGATATTTTAACTATACAGACTGCTATTTTTTATTTTTTATTTTATTTATATAGTGGATAAGTCATCCACATTTGTTAGCTGGTTTGTGTTAATGATCACTTACAGAGGTTTCTAGGATTTGAACCCATGATCTGTATTACTAGACACATTTCCACCACTACACACACACTAATTTATCGCTATATATAGGATGCTATTCTTTTATATTAACATTTTATAATATTAAATTAATTATTTGACTGCTAAAAGATCAAATGAAAAAACTACAAATTTTTAGAACTTGTCAAGCACTATAATTTTAATATAGGGCGTGTTCGTCTAAGATTGTTTTGAAAAAAATAAAAAATTGAATCAATTCAAATATAAGAACTTAAAATAAATATCTGAGACTCTAAACAACTGAAAGGATCTAAATGTCTAGAAGGGTTGAATTGCCTAAAAATTTATCTACCAAATGCACAACACAAAATCAAAGTAGTTAGTATAAAATGATATCCTAATAGAAATTACTTTGCCTACCACTATTTGGTAAGCCTCCTACTTAATTCTAGTAGCAAGATGATCCTTGTCCACTAATTGTCACTCAATTACCAAAACAAAACTGGAGCTTTCAACAACTTTAAATAAAAAACTTATCAACAACAAAGTTGTATATCGCGTCGAACACAACAAACTAGGTATTGATCATGGCCAAAATTGAATTTCAAAGTTCAAGAATTTCTAGCACATATTTGGGACTAAATAAAATGTGCATGACTTATATTAAAAACTTATCAAATAAAAATATTTCAACTACAAAGTTGTACATAGCATTGAGAACTAAAACTGTTATGTAGACCATGTCAACATCCGAGATTATTAAAAAAGTCTAAAATTAAAGTTCAAATTATAGAAAATTAAAACAATATTTGGGACTCTAAATAGCTTTAAATCATAAACTTGTCAACTACAAAGTTATAGATCATGCCGATCTCTAATTTTTTATGTAATGTTTATCTTCACTCGACTTCATATGAAAATATAGCTATTTCTATAGACGATGATCCTCTTAAGTGTGCCATCTCCGTTAATCGATTTTCAGAGACAACATCTTAAAATGTTTGTCTTTATTAATAACCAATTCAGAGGCGGACATCTTAAAATAGTCTACTATCAAAAACGGTTTTCTTAAGATGTCCATCTCCGAAAATGATTAACGGAGGTAAACGTGTTCATTCAATGTTGAGCTCGTTGAAGAGCGGATATGTGGTTGACCTATGAAAAAGAATGTAATCACAAACAAACAAACATGAGGGTGTGGGTGTGTGTCGTCTCCTAAAATCTTCGTCTCAATTAATAAGATCCCCACCTTAATTAATTAGAGACCTATCTCCTAAAATTCTTTTATAGTAGTGGTTCAATGTTGGGCTTGTTGAAAAGCCAGCTCCCAGTGAACCAAACACACTTTGGTCAGGAGCATATATGTCAGCGTGACAGTGTCAGCATAGCATGGTAATAACTTCTTGTGTAAGCTCACCGTGATAATAAAAAAGATGCTCCCAGAACTCATCAAGAATTACTGCTAACTGCCTCCGTGCTGCGCGCCCCAAACCAGACGTTTTAAAAGGCTACCAGCAAGAAATGGTGGATCATTAGAACCAAAGGCGTACCACCTCCAGCAGACTTCTCATATTTCAGATTGTACCTCAGTCTCCCCAACTGTGTAAACATTTGCTTCTGCTTTTAACAACTATTTTTTTTACGGGCAGCAAGATCATTGATGCAAAGTTTATTACAAGAAAAGGAATTGGTCCATTTTTGGAAAAAAAAAGAGGACCCAAAAACTGAGCAACTGCACGGTTCCAAAAGTGAAACCGGCCTGACCTGCAACTAAAAGAACTACATACAGATACAGCTGACAAAACCAAAACACAACTACGAGAATTGCTGGCAACAAAAAAATCACCACTAACTACAACCATCAACACCTCTTGCGAAACTACCACAGATCGATCCAAACAAGAAAGTTGACAACTACTATAAAACAACTGAGAAGACACCATCATCTCTAACCAAGAGCACCACTAGCCGAACCATGAAATACTGAGAACCATGAAGGCAAAACCTAAAAAGAAGGCTGACACACCATCAGAAGGATGTCAACAGGTTGGATGTCAAGTTGATCAAGGGCTTGTGTCAGAGATTCTTCCACCTATGTCACCCTCATGAGTTGTCTTCACCTTCTTGTTTAACCACCATTTCATTTGAGGGCTTCATCTCGAAATTTTCTGAAACGCTATGTTCTACTACAATGATACAGACCTCTGGAACTGGTTGCGTCCACTCAACACCAACTGATTTTGGCACCTCATTGGTTATAGGTGGTGATGGTTCAGCTTCAGGATTAATCAATGTATCCACAGTCAATTGCTAAGCGCCACAATCAGAGGTGTCGGAATCGCATGTAAGCTCAAAAGCTGATTCCTGATGACCCTCCAATGAATCCCTCAGAACAGCTCAACAGAAGACCTCTCAATTTCTTCATGTGCACAATTATCCAGATAAGGTGCTCTGCAGGTGTGTTCATGAACTGATTCCGTATGACCTTCCGATGAACCCATAAGAACAGCTCCAACAGAACAGCTTTCAAATTCTTCATGCTCATTTTTTTCCAGATAAGTTGTTTCTCTATGAGTAGTGCCCAATGTTTCTCTTTGTGAGTGCACAGACGACAAATGAGTCTGAGCTTCATTACTTGCTGATTTTAGTGGAGTAACAGCAAGTAACAGTGTAAATCCAATTGATGCACATGAAACTAGGACTACAACAGAATATGGAAGTATGGCAGGGCTTCCAGTATCTCCTTTCAGGTTGTTTGTCCAAGTGCTATCACCAAACAGAATTTCTGCTGTGAAAATTATATTTGTGAACACCGCAAGAAGGAATGCAAGGAAGGCAAAAATTTCAACACATAAAGCTATCCTGTATCTTCCCATCAATAATCTTGATGAAGAAACACGTAAAATGGGTATAATCGACGAAGGAAGAAGCATAGCCTGGATAACTGGGCACATAATAAGTAACTGATATATCCCTTCAGAACCAGCAACCTTCGCACAGTAGATAGTAAGAATCATGGCCAAACCCTTATGTAGCAGATGATGTGCTGAAAGAGGCAGTTTAACACCAAAGAAGTTCTCTGAAATTACATCACCACTAACAATGCATGTCAATGAGATGATATGGCTTGAAAAGAGAAGGATCACTAATAGCACAGTTGGTGCTGCAGGATTTGTGAATATCTGCAGAAGGCAAGAATCCACAGAAGTCAGGAAGGGGTTCCATGCAGAATCCAAACTAAAAATACTTATTAATATGCATCAACCAGAAACTTAAGTTGTTTATGAGTGGGAAGTAATATGCTTATAAATCAATGTAAGCACTGATTTTTATTCTCCTTAACACCTATGGATGAACTAAAAAGCATTACAGTTATCATTTTCTTAAAATTGTGCCAGCCAGGTCCCAAACCTGACCTACTGAAACAATGCCGTATATAAGTTCAATGCTCCAAGCAGTTCATCAAAAAGCTTAACTTGTTGAGGGAAGGTAGACATCATATTCATAATTCAACAATTTCAAGCAATTGCAAATCCAAACAAGCAAGGCATAAAAGAAATGCAACATGCTGAACTCGTGGTACTTTTTCTTGGCAATTATTAAAAAAACAATAGATGCCAGGATTTGACAAATAGACAGAAACTGGAGATACAAACCTGGTGCATTAGCTCCATAGCATCTTGAAAGTTCATTACCAATGTGTCACTGGATTCATCTGCTGCTGAGCTCAGGAGAATATAATTCACAAGGAAAATCCCAGTAAATATAAATAATATAGAGAAAAGGTGGTCGTGGAACAGGGAACCAAGGGTATGGACTGAAGATCTTCTCTGGACCTGCACATATGATATCTGAATCAGTATACGACAAACCAAAGAAAATCAAATAAGCAGAGAAAAGAAAAGAATGATTTGCTTAGTGAAATGGAAGAGAAAGGACAAAAGTACATTCCAACCAGCTTCTTGGTTAGAGCGGAAAACCCTGGGGTCTGGGGATCACTGAAACCCCTGTGCCGGTCCGCGTTTCAAGCCTGGTACCTCTCCTCAAGGATATGCCCAGGAGGTGTCTCCCCCAAGATCTATTTTTTTTAAAGTACATTCCAACCACTTGACATGTATCTTTTTTTTTTCAAATGGTCGGCAGTAGATCTGCCGAACTTGTATTGATATAGAAGGACCACTTGACATGTATCATGAATTACCATAACTAAAAACACTAACAACCTTAACACCATTTATTTCTTGATGAAGATCGATTCATAAGTAATGGATCATAACAGGCAATACAGAGGACTTGTTTCTTATTATGAGAACTCTGACAACACGAAAGAAAACAAAAGGCTCCACCTAGTGACATAGGCTGCTTCAAATACGAAAGCAGCATAACCAAACACCAGTAATCTATTCATGAATCATGACAGAGCACTTTCTTACTCTGTTTTCATTACATTTGAAAGGCCAACTCAAACATGAAGCAGCACAACCAAACACACTGAACCTGGGCACTAATCTGCACCTGAACTCTAATCTGGACACAAAAGATTATTTGCTAACAACATTCAGCACTCCCATGGCCAGCCACATTTTCCCAGACATCACTTTTCATTACATTCAGCACCCTGAGGCTTATTGTTGTTGGATCACTTTCAACGTGCAAGACACATTCATTCAGGATTGATAAGAAAACTTAATGGAAGATAAGTTTGGCAAAGCTAAGTGCATGTACATGCCATCTGAAAACTTTACCTAAGCATCAGCAAGAGGCTTTAGAAGTTAGAACTTACCTGAACAAATGCTGAATGAGTATAAAAGTTGTGTACTATTATATTTGTGCCAAGAAGAGCCATCAATGAGTAAGCGCTTTCACCACTCAACTTGGGGAACATCACATTCATATTGACTGGGGTATGGGGGTGACTGATTAATAAACCAAGCACAAAACAAAGAAGTGTAAATCCAGCTATGCAGGCATTAAATATCCCAGCCACCTTCTTATCCTATAATGAGCACGAGTAAGAAACTAGAATTACATAAGGTCTTAGACTTAAGAAGATAATCTTTTTATGATGGGGTTATTTGGGGATTTATAGATTTACCAAATGAGAGAGCGTGTATGGTAGTAGACTAACTACAACACTTGCAAAACATATGGCTGTGACAAGATCGTCGTGTTCAAACACAATGTTGAACCCCACTGCCATGCCTGCAATCTAAAGTAGCCAAATGTTAAGTGTTTAAAAGACGATAACTATGATGTGCTCTGGTAAGGAGTAACAAGTACTCATAAACTAAATGCATGCATAGCATGATCACACAAACATCCCAGAATGAAGCACAGCAGAGCGAGAAATCTATAGTTTGTAGGCGTACCATTGTCAATTCAGAGGTCAACAAGGAAAGCCATGCCTGAAGACCGAGAACAACACATATCACCTGACTGTATTCCTGGCAGCAGATCTATCAGTCATGTAGAAGTACAGAAAGTAAGGTTAATATCTCCCAAAGCCTATGCAGGAAATAGTTTAAGATGATTTAGAATGAAAGGAGCATTTACTTGATGGAACTTAACCCCAAGCTATAAAGTTTATCGTTGACAGTTCTCCTTGTTTCTTATCACTTGGTCCCCCAGTATGTCTATCCCTCCACTCCCCGACCATAAGAGTCCTGATCGGTTTTACTAAGAGGTAGGAGTACGTGACGAATTAGAGATAAGGATCCTAATTGGTTTACCATCTCGTCCGTGACCCGAACTCACGACCTGTGTTCATATGAGTCAAAATAGCGCGCGTCTAGCCACAGTAGAGTCCGATTCCAAGACGTATTGGAATGGATGACACAACGCAAAAGCATGTTTGCTAGTTGAAAGAAAAGTCAGAGATTAAAAATGATAACTTGGTTTCCTGTGATATATACTCTCATTGTATCCATGAAACTGAGGTTATTGTGAGTAAATATTGTATTTTTGAAAGTCCTCACCAGCAACCCAGAAATAATGTTAACAATAACAAGTAATAATACAGGCACACAGCACAAAGTAACTAATTTAGTTACATTGCGTTTCAGTGTTTCATTCAGAAAGTGGTACACTTCTTTTTTAGGCTCTGAGACCTCTTTAGATTGCATCTAACAGCAGTGATACAAGCATCCAGGACTTGAGAATCCAAGCCCGTCCTTGTCTACTCGAAGATAATTACCAGGCCCATAGGTGATAAGCCAAATCATTGTTATGAATTGCATAAGAAACGTTAACATTTTCGAGGTTATGCTAAGCTAGTAAGCTCTAGAATATCAGCTAAAATTAGTGAGATCTCTGCACTGTGGTTGTAGTGACTGGCAAAAGTTCTACAAATTGTCTCTGAAGCAAGAACAAGAAAGTGCTCAGTAAGTCGTACCTTGGCAAGGTTCTTCCCAGTGACCATGCCGATACAAGTTGACAGATATTGATACAAAATGGCTGAGAAATTGAAGAGCAGCACCAGTAGCACAAGATCATAGCCGAACCGAGATCCAGCATCCACTGCTACCAACCACTTTCCAAGGTCAATATATGCCATCGAAATCACGAGTGTTGGTCCAAGGGTTCGGAAAAGGTTATGCTGAGCATCGCCAGCAGCCAGAGATTCTATACTCTGCACACTATTCATGGTGCAGAAATAACGCTAATCAGCAAAATTTCAGTATGGAATATGGACCCAGACCACTAAGCCTAATAGCCAACAGTTGATCAAACTCAGGTCCTCTTGACTCGCTCTTTATGATCCTAATAGTGGACTACCAATCTTCAGAGAAGAGGACCATCCACAACACTGTAAAAACCCAGGGCATGCCACTAGTGATGGGGCGTCTTCCTCCCAACCACAGCCTTTAACTTGCTTCAGAAAGATTTACACCACATAATTCTTGCAAGGATGTGGACTACTATCATACTATGGCTGAGAGGATAACATGTCTTTCCTTATGGAAATGGTGAGAGCACTGTAGAAGCAACCATGAACTAGTGATGGGGTGTCTTCCTCCCAACCAAAATCTCCAATATATATCTTCAAGAGGGGCCAAAGCTTAGGTTTCTGTACCACAATTTTCAGATCTTGCGCCCATGGAGGCAATAAACCTTAACAGCTAACACCGAGCCACCTGCAACGTGATCAAAGCACAACATCATATAGAGCCGAAGCAATCGAAAAAGAAACACGCATCAAGTAGTCAGACTAAGAATCCTCTTCCCAACAAAAAGAACTTATATATATATATATATATATATAAAACCAAAAAGAACATATATATATATATATAATGAATAATGGCTCCGAAAGAGAGAAATCCCTTTTCCGCTGTTACCTTTTATTCCAGGATTTTTTTCTCCATATTTCGCTTGGGATTCCCCTGCCACGAGAGCTCTACACAAGGAACGAGGTAAGACCGAGAAATGCGCTGTGCAAACAAAGTTGAGAGCCCTACTGAAAAGTTCTGGGGATCTTTCTACGGTGCCTTCTCCTTCTCAGTTAATGGGAGAGAGGAACTCAAGAAGACAACTGACCCCGCTCCTCTTATTTGCTCCTCGGACATACATTGTTGGGTTGGCGGCGAGCAGGGATGGGCCGACGCGTCGCAGAGGCTGTACGGGACCGAGATGGAGGCGGCAGGGTGGTGGCGGCGAGCGTGACGTGGAGCCCTGGAGGAAGTTTTTTTTATCCGGTAACGCGCATAACTCACAAGCTCCACGCTCATGTCACACACGTGTACCTTCGTACACACGTAAAAAGAGATTGAGAGACATTTTCTAGAAAAATCAAGAAAAAAGTACGACACCAGAGTTTAAATCACGATGTAACGTCCCACTGCGTACCCTAGACCATGACCCCTTTTGCCCTGGAGGAAGACGTCGTGAAGAAGAGCGGGTGGCATTCGCCGCAGTCGCAGGGCAAAGTCGGTGTGGGCCGTGGGCGGCAAAATTAGGAATACGTACGGTCGCGTGGCGGCTCTGCAGGGGCACCGCACGCCACGAGACTGACACCACCACCACCCAGGTTGTGACGCTTCCCATGGGGCATATCACCTTCACCTGCACGCATGCAAGCTCTTAGCCATCGTCCATTGCAATTCGCAAGCGGCGAGCCTCGGTGACATTCATGACTGGCTTCCGAACTCGAATTTCCCTAACCAGGCGAAAGGGCCTGGACGCAAACCACAACTTAACTACAATTTCACACAGGATGACAGGATGTAGACCAATCCCAAAAACAAAGTTACACATAACTGTACTTCATTTCACAATGCCTTGAGGAAACTAGTGGCCCTGTTCGCTTGTCTGATGAGCCGTACTATTTCAGCGAACGAACAGTGTTTTTCCCTCACAACAAATCTAGCAGTACATTTGGCAGTTTGACCCCTCGTGCGAACATCATATGCAAAAACTTGCACGGGCCAAATGCTAAAAAGGGGCACAGAAAAAGAAACAGGAATTCTTGCACCCATGACTCCAGAAGCAGCAAAATGGAACATGTTTGTCTTCCTTTCTGTTTTGTTCTACCGCCTAGGCGGCGTCTTGTTGCCAAGCCTTGGCTTGTATCGCTTGAGCACAGAGACCAGGTTCGCCTTCCCTTTGGGAAAGGCCACATCTCCAGCTGCTGTGCCGCTCCGCCCCATGCGGCTTGAGACAGCTTGCTCCACGCCCTTGATCACCTCCAGGATCATGGCTGCCGTGATGAAGCTGCCAGGGATGGGTTTGCCAACCGGGCCTGCATTCGGGAGGCATGCACATGCCATTAGGGGTTTCCGGGGATTTGAGAGTGAAGGATCAATGATTCCCTACATGAAGTAAACAACAGCTCAGAAATAACATTGGGAGAGAAAAAGAACACAAGGTAAGAGCAGGGTTTTTTTGTTCAGCGGCAATGTGACCTCATGATCCTGTAACCCTTGATGTAAACGTTTTCACGCAATAGATAGGCCTACCTAAAGGCCCAGATCAATGAACAAAACAGAAAATTTCAGGTTTCAGGTGCACGCGCCCCCCCCCAAGCGCACGCGGCAGTGCCCACCCATTGACCATCAAAACCGGAGCATGAAATGTAATCAGAAAAGGATTACAAAAATCTTTGCTATATGAACGAGGCACTGGCATAACCAAAGGCTGAATCTATTTCTCAGGTTTACCCTTTTCTAGTGGCATAAGAACACGATGTGTAGTTCGCTGGAAAACAGATGTGCAGTAAAAAAGGATCACCTGAAGACGGTTGAGAACATATGTATACTTGCCCCAAAGTTCTGGTCTACTTTCCACGCGGGACAGGTCTAGCACCCGATGGATACACCAGACACCAAAACTAACAATCAGGGAAGCCCGCCAAACACAATCATCTCCGCAATTGGGCGCTCTGTGCACATAATTGGTATCTCTGTCGTCATTGGTTCCTTCCTGTGAAACTCTCTCGGCTTCAGAGACTTGATCAATTAGATTTTCATCACAACCGCCGTTCTGACTAAACAGCCACTCTGATCCTTCCAGCTTCAAGAGCTTCATGATGCAAAATCTAAGAGACTTATGAAGTTCTGCCTGAAACTGTGTGTAAGAGAAATCATCCTTCATGGCACTACTTGCTCCCCGGCCAGTGTTCACCTCACTCCTATTCAACTATGAACTTGACACACCAAATAATTGTTCAAATGGCTGTTGGGATCAAAGGGATTCGGTTTTGGTGTACGTGCCTGACTGTGTAGAGAGCACATCTCTCTGAACATTATGTTGTGACAGCTCAGTAAGTGGAGATGATGGCCTGACTGCTAAGTCCACATACCGTGATTTTTCAGATGCCAACCTACTCAGGTATGCTAGATTTGCAGCAGGACCACCCAAATTTGCTTCATTCAACAAAGCATCTCTGCTCGCAACAATTACCGCAGATATGTCAGGTGAACTGTGATACTTCTTTGAGTTAGCAGATGAGGCAACACTCTCACTCCCACCAATGGAGATAGGATCATAGTAGGATCTTTCCGCTGCCATTGTACTTAAGCGGTTCAATGTCGGGCTTTGCAAAGAGCTATCTCCAAATGAACCAAGGAGATTATGGGTATGAGCATTCATCGCAGAGCAAGTATAGTTGGGAATAGCAGATTCAGAAGATCTAGGAGGTTGCCATGGGTCCAGTGGAGTGCTATGATTTCGACTTGCATTTATCCCTTGCAAATAGTTTGCTAGCTGATACCCATGAATGGTAGCCGGCTGATAAAACTGGTTACCGGAGTAAGATGGAGTATGAAAATTTGAATATAATTTAGCATTTTGCTCAAGGAGGATTCTGCCTGAACTTGGAATATCTCTATTTGGTAAATGCATGCTTTGAGACCATGTTGGTGGACCCATGGTACCCATCTGCAGACCGATACCCGTGTCTTGATTAGAGATATCTTTATCATGAGAATCCCATGTGTTCAATACAGTAGCTGACCCAGGCATTACATCTCTCATCGTTGAGTTACTGGAAGCTTCAATTGATAGGCTATCTTTCCTCACAGCAGAACCAGCTGCTCTCAAGTCCAGTCCAATCAACCTTTTAGTGTTGGCCTCTTGTGTAAGTTTACCATGATAATCAAAAAGTTGCCCCCAGAACTCATCAAGAATTGCTGCTAACTGTCTCCATGCTGCACTGCCCAAACCAGACTGTTTTGAGACGAAACCACTGACATTACCAGCATCAGTATCATCTCCATCATCTCCCCTGCTCAACATAAGAGATGGTGGACCACCAGAAGGGAAAGAAGGTACCTTGCCCCCATAGGACTTGTCAAATTCCAAATCACGTGACACCTCAGAATTTTTCTATGCGCCAACATCTGGTTCCACTTGAACAATCTTCTCAGTCGCGCTCTTCACTTTGATGTTCTCTGCAGTACTTTGTTCTACTATGGTGTCAGTACAAACCTTTGACATTGGCTCTGTCCAGTCAACCTCAACAAATTTGGGCTCATCGCGGAATGCAGACAGTGAGAGGCGAGCTTCAGGATCAACTGCCCTATGAGATGTTGGTTCTTGAGCATCATGATCAGACTCTGTAGCGGTATCAGAACACTCGGTATGCTCCAAAGCTGATTTCTGATGACCTTCAAATGTATCCCTCGGAACAACAGCAACAGACGACCACTGAACTTCTTCGAGGGGAACACTTTCCAGAGAAGTCTCTTCTCTATAGTGAGCAATGTGCGAACACAAGGTTGACAAGTACCCTTGTGTGTTCATTTTGTGATGAGTGATTGTTAATGTGATCCACGAAGTGGGTTGAGTGGTGACTAACCCTACCATGGTGAAAGCTATGTGTGCGACATGTCTTTTGGCTTGTGTTGTGCAGGTGTGGAGCTAGGATGTGGTGGTCGACGGCGAGGTGAAGGTCAAGGAGAACGTGTCGTGCCGACGTACCGGGAGCAGTGAAGGACGGACGTGAGGCTTGGACCGAGGGACCGGGAGGCCGGGCGACTAGCCGCGGTGGCTGACACTTGGAACATCAACAAGTGTAAGAAGACATGGAGTGACGGTGTTGACCGGGTCAAGACGGCGGACGCGTGAGTCGAGCGAGGCTCAGGAGGACTTGGCGGGCCGACCGGTCAAGGACGGCGGTGACACGCGTCGGATGGCGGGGAACGCGTATGGAGTACGCTACCCGCGGACGGTTTACGGGTTTGGGCCTCAAAACCCGGGCGGAGGTTCCGAGGAGGGACGGACGGCACGTGGCGGCATCGGGGAGTTCGCATCGAGGCGAAGCTACCGGTGAGAAGGCGCGGTGACCGGCGGATCAAGATTACACCGGGTTGGACAACAACGCCCTTGGGCTTAGCGGTTCAACTCATTTGTATCCAGGGGCAAAACTGAGAATGTGTAATAGCCCTGTTAAATAGGATGATGGAGCCTCCATCTCCCTCACCTCTCCCATTCTCATTTTTCTGTTTCGTGTAGTTTTTCTCCTTCCTTTTAGTGTTCTTGCTAGAGAGGTCTAAGAACAATAATTTGTGCTTGTATTCGTGAGATTTTTGGTGTGGGAATGGAGGCCCGAATCTTCCTCGTGCCCTCTGGGATTCATGTATTTTGACTGTGATTTTTCGTGTTCATGTTGTGCTATTTTTCTCTATTTTCGTTCATGGCCGTGATCTGATATTCCCGGAGTTTGGGTTGGTCCCAAGCGATTATTCTTTGGGGATTTGTTCGTAGCTAGTTCAATTTCACCTGTGCAAAGTTTGGGAACCACTTGTTCTGATTTGGTTGAGTTTTCTTCGATTTCGTGGTCAGCGCCCCTTCTCTGGTTGCTCGCTCGGTCTTCTGTTTGTGGCTGTTCTGTTCATCTCCTGGAAGCCGAGCACAGGAGCAGGCCAAGCAGCGGCAACGCTACCAGCGTCGTGCGCTCAAGCGCCGAGCGTGCTCAACCGAGCGGCGTTCGTCTCTAAGCCTTGTTGTACCGGTTGTCCGTCTGTCGTTCTCCACAGGAAGCTGCTCGCTCTGGTGTTCGTCCCTTCTCTGTGCTGTGCCGTGTACGCAGGTCCATTCTTGCACCGTCAGGTGCTCGCCACTGCACAGTGAGCTGCCACTTAGCACCGATCCGTGCTCATCCAGAACCCTGCACGCACAGCCCAAGAGCAGCAGCAGCGCCGCAAATTTTTTTTACTGCATATTGCCAACAGGTTGCATCTTCTGTCCAGCATAGCAGTTTGCTTTTGTGAGTAGTCATTCCAAGCATTTATGACTCATCATTAGAGTACTAATCTAAATTCATTTAGCTTGAATTACTACTCACGGTTTGCATACATATCAATTCAGTTTTATCTCTCGGACTCCAGGGGCAGCAGGCTGATCCAACCGTAGCTGCCTGGTCCGATTTCTTTCACTGTCAGTCCGAATTTTTGGCCTATGTGCGTTCACTGTTTTATTCCTAGAGTGGTCGATTGATCTCCGTTTCGTGTCCCGTTTGATCCGTTGGTTTCGTGGTGTTCCGTTGTGTTCCTAACGAACATTCATCCATTAGTTGGGTCGTGGACATCACAGTATTTGATTTGTGTGTTTGGTGGTGATTATTGGGACAGCGGCCAAATATTTCGCGAGAAATTTTACGGCTCCCATTCACCCCCTCTGGTCGCCGTTTTCGGTCCTTCAATTGGTATCAGAGCCGGTTAAGGATCCTTCCACCTTAATCGGTCCATGATCCACGAAGGCGACATGGAGCGTGGTTCTAGCAAACCACCGCACTTCGATGGGTCCAACTATCCTTATTGGAAGATCCGCATGTTTGCACATCACCAGGGGATTGATTGGCTCGTCTGGGAAATTTGCGAGGATGCTACTTACTTTGTGCTCCCTGTCGCGGCCCGTACCACCCAGGATCACAAGGATCGGCACAACGCAAATAGCAAAGCTCGCAGTGTGCTTTTCTCGAGTCTTTCGCTTTTTGAGTTCGAGCGTGTCTCCGATTGTACTACAGCTCGAGATCTAGGTGAGGCTTTAGATCTATCACGAGGGGACATCATAGGTCAAGACCAGACTCTACGAGACGTACAAGCGCGAGTACGAGAACTTGTCTCAGCTTGATGGCGAGTCCATCGATGCCATGTTTTCCCGCTTTCAGACTATCGTCAACAAAATGAAAGCGAACAAGACCAACCTACCTTATAGTGATCATGAGAGGGCGCTCAAGCTTCTCTATGCCCTTGATTGAAAGGTATGGGATGTGAAGGTGTCGGCGATCATCGAGTCGGCCAACTACGACACCCTCACCGTCGATGAGCTTTTCAGCAAGCTCAAGTCCATAGAGATCGACTACCAAACCCAAGCCAAGCTCAAGAATCCTTCTGCACCAACCATGGCTTTGGTCTCAGGTAGTGGTTCAAGTTCATTGACTAACCCTTCACAAGCTTCTTTCTCTTTGTCATGCTTGATGTCAGTCACAGAGGAGCAGCTGGAGTCTCTTGGGGATGATGAGTTGGCACTTGTCATCAGTCGGTTCTCTCGGTTTCACAACAACCGTTTGAACCACCGACGCAGTGGTGGCCCGAAGGAGGGATGCTATGGATGTGGAGATCCGGACCACTTCGTCGCGCGCTGCCCCAAGAAGAAGCCCTTCACCAACAATTACGACTTCGACAAGCGCAAGGATAAGTGCGACTACACCTCCGGCAAGCACAAGGCCAAGGGCGGCTTCGACAAGGAGGCGATCAAGAAGGCGTACCGCAGGAAGGCCAAAGCTCAAGAACGCGCCTTCCTCGCCTCCCTCAGTGACCTCGATGACGACTTCGACGATGATCACTCTTCTTCTCCCTCGACCGACGATGAGTCTGAGAAGAAGCGCGAGGACAAGCTCAACGGTCTTTGCTTTGTTGCCGGTGCAAACCATGGTGGGTTTTGCACTATGGCGATTGACGGTGGAGCAAAGCTCAAAAAGGACGTTGACGTCGACGACGACGAAAATGAGGTACCGCCCACACTTGACTCACTTATGCTTGAGCTTGATACTATGAATGATACATTGATAAGTCAAGATAAGTTGCTTAAGCGTGCTGCCCGTGAGAGAAAAGAGTTTAAGGACCAGCTAGAGGTTGCTTTGAAGGAGTTGGAGCTTGCCAAGAGTGTAGTGGTGTCAGAGGAGGAGGAGTGCGATGAGTGCGCTATACACATGTCTAACCTCTCTGAATTACAATCCAAGTATGATGTTTTGCTTGATGAATGTGATGAGCTGAAGTCTCGTTCTAGGTTGCTCGATGCGTGCAAGTCCTGCTCAGGCTTGCAATCTGAGTTGGCAGAGAAGGTTGCCAAACTTGCTGAGCTTGAGAAGGCCAACTCAGATAGCACCACCACTACATGTGTTCGATGTGAAGCTTTGGTGTTGGAGCTTGAGTCCTGCAGGCACGACAAGATGGGAACCGAGGAAGAAAACACACAGCTTCGGTCCATCTTGAGCTGGGTGTCATGTAGTGAGCCCCAGTTGGGCATGACGGTGAGCCAGTTCAGGCGGGGAACTGACTCATCGGGAGTAGGCTTTGCTATAGGTGGGAATTGACCCAAGTGAGAAACCCACCAACACTCCCAAATTGATCAAGATCCCTCCACCAGAGCCTACCAAGCCTATGATCAAAGATGGTGTGTTTGAAGAACCACCAAAAGCTCCACCATCCAAGCAAGTTTGGGTTCCCAAACCGAACCACTTTCGGAACTCACTCGATACTCTACCCAACATCTCTAGTGCACCCCTTCCTAAAGCCAAAAAGCCTCAGAGAGTGAATCACACCCACAAGAGAGTGAGTCAACCACCACCCAAGAGAGAGGTGAGGTACCACTGTGACTATTGCCATAGAGATGATCATTTGGCTGAGTTTTGCTTTAGGAGGAAGAGAGATGAACGACGCGAGTACGAGTTGAACAACCGGAACATGTACCGTCCTCCACATGGCGTACATGTACCACCTATTCAGAGGTGCAGTGTTAGGCCTAGAGGTGCAATGCCTCAAGGTGCTAGGCCTCAGGTGGCGAGACCACATGGTGGTCGTGCCCGCGGCGTGGCCCAAGTCATGATCAATATGACTCTGGACCTCGCGACGGTGGCTTTCAGTCCCACACTCCTAGCGGACCACGTTTTCCCCCATGTGGTGATCGCTTTTCTCCAATGGGACATGGCATGCATGGTGTTTTTCCTAACACTTTTCCAGGGCAAATGACTCAACACTGGTATTCTCCTCATTTCACTAACCCCAGTGTTGTGCCATTTGCTCACCCCCTGTCTTTCTATTGATGCAGAGCGGAGGCCTGGAGAACACGTGGCTTGTTGATTCCGGCTATTCGCGCCATATGACCGGAAGTTCCCAATGGTTCTCCAGCCTTGACCCCATGCAATACAAGGAGTACATCACATTTGGGGACAATAGCGAAGGTAAGGTTCTATCTCGTGGGACCATTCGGGTCAACGAGTCTTTTATCTTGAAGGACGTTGCTTTGGTTTCAAGCCTGCATTTCAATTTGCTCTCTGTTTCGTAACTCCTTCAAGATGGGTTTGAGGTGCGCTTTAAGACTAGACTTTCTCATGTGCTCGATTCTCAGGGACATCTAGTTTGTCAGATCGTTCCTTTTGGCCGAGTTTTTAGAGCTAATTTTTCTCAGTCTTTCGGTTCTTCTCGCTGCTTGGTTGCCGGATCTTCTTCTGATTTGTGGAAGTGGCATAGGAGACTTGGTCACTTGAGCTTCGATCTCCTAGTGAGGTTGAGTTCTCTTGACATGATCCGAGGATTGCCCAAACTTAAGTTTGAGAAGGATCTGGTATGCCATCCCTATCGCCACGGGAAGATGGTGGTTGCTTCCCATCCTCCAGTGACTCAGGTCATGACCACGAGACCCGATGAGCTACTCCATATGGACACTGTTGGTCCGGCTCGGGTTCGGTCAGAGGGAGGGAAGTGGTACGTTCTTGTGATCGTGGATGATTTTTCTCGCTATTGTTGGGTGTTTTTCATGGAGGGCAAGGACGAAGTGTTTTCTCATGCTCGTGACTTGATCTTGAGGTTGCAAACTGAGTTACCAAAGAATGCCATACGAGCTATCCACATCGACAATGGCACTGAGTTCAAAAACTCACAGTTTGACACCTTTTGTGCTTCTTTGGGTCTTGAACATCAGTTTTCTTCGCCCTATGTCCCTCAGCAGAATGGTGTTGTTGAGCGCAAAAATCGGACTTTGGTTGAAATGGCCAGGACGATGCTCGATGAGCATAGGACTCCTAGGCGTTACTGGGTCGAAGCCATCAACACCGCCTGTCATGTTTCAAACCGCATTTTCCTTCGTGCTTTCTTGAAGAAGACATCCTACGAGTTACGGTTTGGGCATCCACCCAAGGTGAGTCATTTTCGAGTCTTTGGTTGCAGGTGCTTCATTCTTAAGCAAGGTAATCTTGACAAGTTTGAATCTAGATCTTCGGACGGTATATTTCTCGGTTACACTTCTCATTCACATGCGTACCGTGTGCTTAATCTTGAGACTAATCGTGTCGTGGAGACTTGTGAAGTCACCTTCGACGAAACCATGCCCTCTTCTGTTTCTGTCTTTGAACGTGCAGGTGATGAAGAGATGGGTGACAGTATTTTTGTTGAGGATGACGACGCCGCCGATTGGGATGATCCCAAGCCATCTCAACCGGCTGCACCGATCGAGCCAGCTTCGACCACTTCGGCTCACGGCCCCGAGCCCTCCACCTCTACTTCATGGGGTCCGTGCGAGCCGCTTCCTCAATCGACTAAGGAAGCCCTAGCTGTGGATGAGGGGGAGGCGACTTCATCTTTGGCTGCACCTTGACACATCCAGCGACGCCATCCTCCTCAGACCATGATCGGCGACATCGATGAAAGGGTAACGCGTTCCAAGTCTTATCATATTTCCCATTTTGCACATTCGACTTTTGTCGCTAACTTTGAGCCCAAAAGTACTGGACACGCACTCTCTGATCCCGATTGGGTCAATGCTATGCACGAGGAGTTAGAGAATTTTGAGCGGAATCAAGTTTGGGTCTTAGTTCCACCACCACCCGAGTGTCATCCCATAGGAACCAAGTGGGTGTACAAGAACAAGCAAAGTGAGGATGGAGTTGTGGTGAGGAACAAGGCTATGCTGGTAGCGCAGGGGTTTAGCCAAAAAGAGGGAGTAGACTTTGAGGAGACATTTGCTCCTGTGGCCCGCATTGAGGCCATTAGGATCCTCCTCGCCTTTGCAGCATCCAAAGGCTTTAAACTCTACCAAATGGATATGAAGAGTGCTTTCCTAAATGGCTACATAGAAGAAGAGGTGTATGTGAAGCAGCCTCCAGGCTTTGAAAACCCCAAATACCCAAACCATGTTTACAAGCTACACAAAGCCCTTTATGTCCTAAAGCAAGCCCCCAGAGCGTGGTATGAGAGGTTAAAGTCGTTCCTATTAGCTAAGGGGTTTGAGATGGGTTATGTAGACAAGACGTTTTTTCTCCTCAGGCATGGCACTAACATGCTCTTGGTACAGATTTATGTGGATGATATTATTTTCGGCGTCTCCTCTCACGGTCTTGTTGCAAAGTTTTCTGAAATGATGAGCAGGGAGTTCGAAATGAGCATGATGGGCGAGCTCACATTCTTCCTCGAACTTCAGATCAAGCAGACGCAAGAAGGAACCTTCATCCATCAAGGCAAGTACACGAAAGACTTGTTGAGGAAGTTCGACATGGGTGAGGCGAAGCCCCTCTCAACACCCATGTCAACGACTACGGCCTTGGATGAAGACAAGGAAGGCGAGGCGGTGGACCAGAAGGAGTATAGGAGCATGATTGGCTCCCTCCTCTACTTGACAGCAACACGACCCGACATCTAGTTCGCCGTGTGCTTGTGCGCCCATTTCCAGGCTTCTCCACGCACTTCACATCGGTAGGCCGTCAAGCGGATTTTTAGGTATCTTCGGTTCACTCCTGAATTTGGCCTTTGGTTTTCGCTTCTTCTTCGTTTTCTCTCTGTGGTTACTCGGACGCCGACTATGCTAGTTGTCGAGTTGAGTGCAAGTCCACCTCCGGGACTTGTCAATTTATCGGCTCTTCTTTGGTGTCATGGTCTTCTCGCAAACAATCCAGTGTAGCCTAATCCACCACCGAAGCCGAATACATTGCTGCTGCCGCTTGCTGCTCACAGCTCCTATGGATGGTTGCCACTTTGAGAGATTTCGGACTTGAGTATAGGAGAGTGCCACTTTTCTGTGATAGCACGAGTGCCATTAGTGTTGCAAAGAATCCAGTGCTTCACTCCAAAACCAAACACATCGAAGTCCGTTTCCACTTTCTCCGAGACCACTATGAAAAAGGCGACATTGATCTCATCCATGTAACCACCCAAAACCAGCTTGCAGACATCTTTACAAAGCCTCTTGACCAAGCCTAGTTTGCTCGCTTGCGAGGGGAGCTTGGAGTTTGTTTCCCTTTTTAGAGGAGGGGAACTTTGGTTGTTGTATTCTAGTTTTGCTTTTCTTTGTAGTTTAGCCTTTGTTTTTGTTTTTATATCATACTTGCATATCATATCATCATGTATCATATTGCATCCTGAGCTTCATCCTTATAGTAGCTAGATTGACACTATGCTCTTGTTGGGGTTGTTATGGATATACATGATGTGCCTTTGGCTTAGGCTCCTTTTGATCAATTGATGCATGTTATGAGCTAAGCTTGTTTTTTTCCCAACTGTGAACTTGATTAAAACTTGTTGGAACATGAAATGTGTTCACCACTACTTGTGGCAACTAGCATGTGTAGAATGTGTTGAGATCTTCTTTGCTTCATATATATGCTTAGTTGCTACGGCTCATACCTTGAGTTACACACTTGCTTGAGAAACTTGAATTTGTGCTAAAACTTGAAAAACAAACTAAGTAAATTGAAAAGATCGGGATGGGTCTGTACTATCCTATGTCAGAGTATCGAGACAACTCCAAATTGCACTTATTGGTGAACTTGAGCTCTATAATGGATACCGAGATCATTGTCTTAAGCTTCTGATTGCCTTTGGCATAGGCTTGACATGGTCGCTAAGTCAGGTTTTGATGGCACAGATAACCTTCCGCACACACTTGTCTGACAAACTTTGGTAATAAGCTGCATAACTCCGACAAATTTCAATTGGTATCTAAAATTTGATCAAACCACAAGTTTGTCTCATGACATGATGTGTGAACTTTGTTTGGGGTAGTTCACTTTGCATACATGTGTAGCACAAGGTCGATCTCCTATCTATTTTTTGCTATGTGCTCCTTTGGTGGTGAACCCTCTTTCAAAATTGCTCAAACTTGATCAAACTTGCTTAAATGCCATATTTCGTCTCATTTGGTCACCTTGAGCATTTGCTAGCACTTGTATGTGTTGCTATATATACATGACAGCATCAACTAGAGCATCCTTTCAATCTACTTGCTATAATCTTGAAGCTTCTGCATTCGTGCATTTCTGCATTCATAGCTTGTTTTGAGGGGGAGTTGCAATCCTTGGGCTCTAGCTTGATAAGTGCATGTGTCAACAAGGGGAGAATTTTCCACACTCACAATGTCACAAGGGGACACAAGGGGAAAGAAATATTCGTAAAAGGGAAGAAACTTCCAATTCCACATAAAGTTGAGAGATATGCATTCATTTGAGAGAGATTGCACTTGTTCAGGGGGAGTTGCATTTGAGGTGTTTTGCTAGATGTGTTGAGCCTTTGTCTCTTCTGGAGGGTCTAGTAGTTTTTCGGCTTTTCGAGCTTTGCTAGTGGTGTTGAGCCCGTTGCCTCCTCTTGAGGGCTAGCTTTGTTTTACTTGGTTGCGTCAAGCCGTTGCCCATGTCTTTGGGGACTAAGTTTTGCTCATTTTCAAATGACTCTCGTTCTTGGCTTTTCTTTGGCTTTTGGTCATTTGGGTGAGTTCTTTGTTTTCTCTTCTTCTTTTTCTTTTACTCAAGCTGTTCGTGTATTGGTGTTGACAATGCACTCATCAACGGGGAGATTGCGAACACAAGGTTGACAAGTACCCTTGTGTGTTTGTTTTGTGATGAGTGATTGTCAATGTGATCCACGAAGTGGGTTGAGTGGTGACTAACCCTACCATGGCGAAAGCTATGTGTGCGACATGTCTTTTGGCTTGTGTTGTGCAGGTGTGGAGCTAAGATGCGGTGGTCGACGGCGAGGTGAAGGTCAAGGAGGACGTGCCGTGCCGATGTACCGGGAGCAGTGAAGGACGGACGTGAGGTTTGGACTGAGGGACCGGGAGGCCGGGCGACTATCCGCGGTGGCTGACACTTGGAACATCAACAAGTGCAAGAAGACATGGAGTGACGGTGTTGACCGGGTCAAGACGGCGGACGCGTGAGTCGAGCGAGGCTCAGGAGGACTTGGCGGGCCGGCCGGTTGAGGACGGCGGTGACATCGCGCGTCGGATGGCGGGAACGCCAGATGGAGTACGCTACCATGGACGATTTTTCTGGGTTTGGGCCTCAAAACCGGGCGGAGTTCCGAGGAGGGACGGACGGCACGTGGCGACATCGGGGAGTTCACGTCGAGGCGAAGCTACCAGTGAGAAGGCGCGGTGACCGTCGGATCAAGATTACACCGGGTTGGACAACAACGCTCTTGGACTTAGCGGTTCAACTCATTTGTATCCAGGGGCAAAACTAGAAATGTGTAATAGCCCTGTCACCTCTCCTATTCTCATTTTTTTGTTTCCTGTAGTTTTTCTCATTCCTTTTAGTGTTCTTGCTAGAGAGGTCCAAGAACAAAAATTTGTGCTTATATTCGTGAGATTTTTGGTGTGAGAATGGAGGCCCGAATCCTCCTCGTGCCCTCTGGGATTCATGTATTTTGACTGTGATTTTTCGTGTTCATGTTGTGCTATTTTTCTCCATTTTCGTTCATGGCCGCGATCTGATATTCCCGGAGTTTGGGTTGGTCCCAAGCGATGATTCTTTGGGATTTGTTCGTAGCTAGTTCAATTTCACCTGTGCAAAGTTTGGGAACCACTCGTTCTGATTTGGTCGAGTTTTCTTCGATTTCGTGGTCAGCGCCCCTTCTCTGGTTGCTCGCTCGGTCTTCTGTTTGTGGCTGTTCTGTTCATCTCCTGGAAGCCGAGCACAGGAGCAGGCCAAGCAGCGGCAACACTACCAGCGCCGTGCGCTCAAGCGCCGAGCGTGCTCAACCGAGCGGCGTTCGTCTCTAAGCCTTGCTGTACCGGTTGTCCGTCTGTCGTTCTCCACAGGAAGCTGCTCGCTCTGGTGTTCGTCCCTTCTCTGTGCTGTGCCGTGTACGCAGGTCCATTCTTGCACCGTCAGGTGCTCGCCCTTGGGGCCAAGCAGGGTGCTCGCCACTGCACAGTGAGCTGCCACTTAGCACCGATCCGTGCTCATCCAGAACCCTGCACGCACAACCCAAGAGCAGCAGCAGCGCCGCAAATTTTTTTTACTGCATATTGCCTACAGGTTGCATCTTCTGTCCAGCATAGCAGTTTGCTTTTGTGAGTAGTCATTCCAAGCATTTATGACTCATCATTAGAGTACTAATCTAAATTCATTTAGCTTGAATTACTACTCACGGTTTGCATAGATATCAATTCAGTTTTATCTCTCGGACTCCAGGGGCAGCAGGCTGATCCAACCGTAGCTGCCTGGTCCGATTTCTTTCAATGTCAGTCTGAATTTTTGGCCTATGTGCGTTCACTGTTTTATTCCTAGAGTGGTCGATTGATCTCTGTTTCGTGTCCCGTTTGATCCGTTGGTTTCGTGGTGTCCCATTATGTTCCTAAGGAATATCCATCCACTAGTTGGGTCGTGGACATCACAGTATTTGATTTGCGTGTTTGGTGGTGATTATTGGGACAGCGGCAAAATATTTCGCGAGAAATTTTACGGCTCCCATTCACCCCCCCTGTCACCGTTTCCGGTCCTTCACAATGTTCAATGCTTCACTATGTGAGCGCACAGACAACTCCTCGTTTTCAGCTTCATTACTTGCTGACTTTAGTGGAGTAACAGCAAGGAATAGCGTAAAAGCAATACTTGCAAAAGAAGTTAGGACTATGACAATATATGGAAGCAAAACAGGGCCTCCGGTGTTTCCTTTGAGGTTGTTTGTCCATGTGCTATCACCAAACAGGATTTCCGCCACAAAAATGATATTTGTAAACAGCATAAGAAGAAATGCAAGAGTGGCAAATATTTCAACATGTAAAGCTATCTTGTAGCTGCCCATGATTAATCTTGATGAGGAAATACGGATAAGGGGGATTACAGCTGAAGGAAGGAACATAACCTGGATAACTGGACAGAGAAGAAGTAACTGATATATCCCTTCAAAACCAGCGACCTTTGCACAGTAGATACAAGGAATGATGGCGACACCCTTAAGTAGCAGATGATGTGCAGAATCTGGCAGTTTAACACCAAAAATGTTCTTTATAATCACATCACTACCAATAATAGATGTCAACGAGATGATGTGGCTTGAGAAGATTAGGATCACTAACAACACAACTGGCGCCACAGGACTCGCAAACATCTGCAGAAGACAACAATACATGAATTTAGTAGCTTCAATGAAGAATCCATTCTCAGAGTGACAGTGCTGTTCTTAGTTTCCATGCTGTTACAGGCTGTGTAAGGGTGACAACATAAACAAGATTACACCCCGTCCCTCCCTCCCCCCTTCCCTCCCTCTTCTCGTGTGCCATATGGCCTGCCCAAGCCGACATTACACCTTCCTTGAATGCAATGTTGAGCATATACAAAATCCTCAAATTTTAAGCTTATTGGTGAGTTGTTTAAACAATTTAAAACTCGATGAGCTCTTCCATTGTTATGACTGGCGTCACGTACCAGCGCCGGGGACGACCAAGTGGATAGGCCACACCAGCGGCAAGGGGCCTAGGTGCCCAGGATTTGTTATCTTTAGATATTATTTCTATTTTCTTAATTATAGGATCAGATTGATTTGCTTGTATCGTTAAGGGATATAAATATTCCTGGACCCTTTGGAATTAAGCAAGCAAGGCAATATTTGTTGCCTGGCCTCAAGGGCCACCAACGTGACCTCCTCCTCCACCAACGTGACCTCCTCCTCCCTGCTCTCTCTCTCACGCATGCCCTAGGGCTAGCAGCAGCAAGCCGCCGCCCGCCGCTCCCTCACGCTGCCACGGCTCCACGCTGCCGCCGGGAGATCAAGCCCCGACCTCCCATCTTCCATCCCTACGCACTACGCAGCCGGGGTAGGATCAAGGATCCTATCATCCATCTTCACCTCAAATTCAAATTACTAACTCAAAAATTGTGCATCAAAAAGTTAATCATCCTTGCATGTGTGATTTGGAGCTTATTGGATTTTATTTGAATTTTTTAGGGAAGTTTGAATATGGACCTAACTAAAATTCAAACTATCTAGTTTAAATAAACAGAAAACAGGATTCTAAAACCAAAACCCAGCTAGACCCACCTACATAAAGTTTCTGGTCCAGCCATAACCCCCCCCCCCCCCCCCCCCCCCACACACATACACAATCCTTGGACTGAGCCAGGCTGAAGGGCAACATCAGCTGACGCTCGCTGTGCCCCTCATCTCAAGCCCTGGACTAACACTGATGTTGACCGGGGAAGAAATGAAGCCAAAACAAACAATAGGCAAAGGTGCGTTTGAATGGCAGCCAGCACTTTGAACATGCCGAACGGATATCGTATCATCTAGTGACAGTCAGTGCTGGGAACACACACCAGACGGTCCGGTGGTACTGACGATCAGGGGATGGCCAGACAAACTGGTCCCGAGGGAATATACCTCATTCTCATTTTCCTATCCGCCCTTGGCTTCCTTTATGGTTCGGTGAGCCACCAGAAACGTACCTGGGTGCAACCGATACCATAGGATAAATTGACAAGTTTGCCCTCTAGCTCTTCCTCTTTACTTACTGCGTTTATTGCTTCCTCTTGTGCTTTGATTGTGTGACCTTTACTTTACTAGATTATCTTAGGCTAGTTGATATGATTGGCTCTAGGTTCCAGAACTCTTTGTAGGTTTAAGGGTAAGTTAGAGCACACTAGAAAAACCTTAGACGCACATCATGCTAGAACTAGTTTACATTTTTTCTAGTGGTAGTTTTATTTGAGCCCTATGATTATAGTTTTAAATTAGACACCGAATTCACACAACCCCTCCCCACTTGGGCATTCACAGAGACCTTTCACCACTCTCACGCGATGCTGACAGGTGGTGCCTGCATAGCATAGCATTGTCATCATCCTCTTAAAGCCACACTGCTTTTTGCCTCTCGCCTCATGATGAGGATAGATCATTGCAACTATTGGTCTTCAAGAGACGTTCCTAGTACAAGTTTGAGCACAAATCACAACTACAACCTTAGCAAGCAACTAGAACCTTATAAGCTTGAGCACAAATCACAACTACAACCTTAGTACAAGCTTGGTGGCTAGTAGTTGAGTCACCAGCACCAATGCTGTAAATCCAAACCTTGCCCTCCCACAAATCACAACTAACCTTAGCATCAAAGTGAACTGCAAGTTTTCCCCTATATTTGCACCTGCCAGGCCTTGAACTCATGACCTCTTCGTTATGATAACATATTGAATTCCATCACCAACTATTCACTCAAAAGTTTAGATTGCTGAGGAAAGGTGGGTGATGTGCTCTAAAGAATTTTAGAAAAAGGAAAAGGGATAAGGGGACATGCTATTTTCTGAGTTCGATTGCTGCCAGAAGAGTAATAGGGAGTAGAACAAAGGACCTGACAATCTAACAGATATTGAACAAACCTGGTTCATTAACTCTATACCATCTTGATAGCTAACAAGTGTTATGTTACCGGATTCATCTGCTGCTGAGCTCAATAGAACATAGTTCACAAGAAAAACCCCAGTAAATACGAATAATATAGAAAACAGGTGATCATGGAACAGAGAACCAAGGGTAGGAGCTAGAGATCTTCTTTGCACCTGCACATATGATAGCTGATTAACATACAATCAAATAAGTAGAGAGCAGATCAACAAAAATGGCCAGGTTTGTCAAAGTGGAATGCAGAGTACAAAAGTATAACAAAAATGGCCAGGTTTGTCAAAATGTGTTTTCAAGTATTTTTAAGGGAAGATTTTTTTAATGTTGTGTTAGTGATCATGCATTTCGAATATGCAATTAAATTGCATTCCAGTGAGATTTCGAGCGTTCCATTAATAATAACCTGCTTGGTTTATTTTTTGGCCTTATCAGGACATTACTAATGATGAAAATCTGAGAAATGATGGTGGTAGGATGAGTATCAGAAGATTTTTCTCTGTTTTAGTGTCACTGTGAATCAAGTTATAGACTAACATGCTGCTGCAAAATAGTGTCATTGTCGGTTACCACTATGACCAATAAATTGTGGTAGACTAATGATTCATGTGATGTATTGCATTATATGAGAACACTGCATATGGATACACATGTGAAAATAGAATGTACGCGTAAGTTGCTTTCTACATGAAAGAAAAACCAGCATAATCGAAGCAATAATCCACTCATTCTTTTGGTGATAAGCGTTATCTCACTATGTATTCAGAAAAATTACTCCCCCGGTGGTATTATTTGATTGCTGAAAACATGAAACATTCTCTACAATAAGAAAATGCATCCAGCCAACAGAAAAGGCACATTAACTTAGTGCACCAAATGTAACTCCAAATGCTATCCGACAATTGTGACTAATCTGAGCAAAAGTGTTAGAGTAAATAGAAATATACCACATTGTCTACCAACGTGGGGTGTTAGTCCTATGTACCCTATATAACCTAGCCCATGAGGCCCAACGCAATATATATCCAATTCCACCACTTATATTCTCCTACATGGTATCATTCGCCTAGGTTAGATCTTAACCCTAGCCGCCGCCGCTTCCGCACCGCGGCCCCCCGGGGAGAGATCGATCTCTGTCGGGGGCAGCGTTGTGCCATAACTGCCTAATCTAATGCCTCTCAGGAGTACTTGTCTTCCATTAGACACTAAGTACTCAAGAGATGACACTAAACTATGCAATTCCGTTGAGCACACCCCAAAGGAGAACTAAAAAATCCACATTTTTCCATCAGGATCATAAATAAGAGAATAAAGCTTATAACATTCTTAAGTCATTTCTTACATCACTTTATTACAGTAACAGAATATTACCTTAATTGATTATAACAGCGGAATATAACAATGTTATCAGAATTACAGAGGAAGCAAAGATTAATTTAATGACATGGTGAAGTATTAACATAGTGGACATTTATATACAAGAGCTGCTAGCAGATTTTACATCTTTTCTTATAAAAACCTTTAGTAAGGGTTATAAATAAATACTACGGTCGTAGCGTGAAAGGAATCCTCTCTAAGTATCCTCCAATCACCTGCAACAGGGGGAATAAAATCTTGAGTACTCGATTGTACTCAACAAAACTTACCCGACATGAGGAAAATAAAAGACTCCAAGGATATGCAAGGCTTATTTGGCTTGTGGGTTATTGCATCTGCGGAAGCATTACTAAACGTGCATCCTTATATTCAATTTTATAGCAGTCATCATTAGTTTATTAAGTAACCATCCTATGTAAGCACCTATGCTATTTTCAAGCAGGTGGTAAGCAATTAGAACCATTTTATCACCTTTCAAGTTTCAGTTCTTACTACGGTGCTAGACCATAGCCAAGTCATACCATCTCATAGAAACGACGATTCGCAAACCAATGTATCCTAACTGGGTACCCCAAAACACACGCCCCGTTTGTACCCTAGGCACAAACAAGACCAACCCATTCTACTCCTGTCACGGGGTCTAGATCCTCGTCCAAACTTGGACTCCAAGCCCCCACACTTAAGACCCGGTCTCAATATGGTGCTTAGACCTCCACCTTTCCCCGCCTTCAATCAGTCAGTCCAAAAAGAGCCAGAACCCATGACAAGAGCGTAACGAGCCTTCCCGCTCCCATAAGCAAGTATGTGCTGATGATAATAAGTCTGTGACCTGACTACCATCCACAACAACGGACGGTCCTCCATCGACACAGGCGGAACAAGTGCAATCCGAGCCTCGCTCGAATGTCTACCCAAGTCCAGATCCAAAGTGTCATTCCGCCCGGTCTCCAATTATCCTTCATATATATTTCATGTGATAGTAATATAATAACAACAATAATATATTTCCTATCTCTCGCGAGTGACAGGTAATGAATCGACTTCTACCGGATCCTATAGCATAGCAATCTACATGATCCTGACATACTAGTAGGACTCATAGGACAAGGATATATATATATACAAGTGGTTTCATTCAACTCCTTAAAACTTAATGCATAAGCATAAAGTATCGTGCATAATAATAGGTGTTATGCACCGGGGCTTGCCTGGACAAGATATAACCAAAGATTAGCATTCCATTGGTGACACGATCATCAAGGCACCATCTTTTCCGCTACTTCGGTCGACTCCATGATCCATCATTGTTCCTATTATGATATACATAGATGCAACACAGAAATATAAATAATCAACGGCAACTACAACTCTAAAATACGAGTACGCTCCGTATGCTACCGAGTTAGCTTTAATGACTAACGTACTAGTCTACGTATCCACATCGTCAAGTAAGGCTTTGCCTCTGAAAAATGTTTTAGTCCTACAATTCCAAAGGTGTTTTGGCATTTTATGAATTAAATATATATTTTTGAACTAGGACTCATTTAACTACCTTAGCAAATTAATTATTATGGAGCTACATAAATTATAGTGAGCACCTAATAATATTATGAATTTACTGTAAAAGTTTCAGAGCCAACACTATCACCAATATCACAAAAATTCCTACAAGTTTATATCTTATAATCTTAAGCATCTCAAATTAATTAGATAACTTCTAAAAATATTATAAAACTATGTGAACAAAATATACTAACAGATAGATCATGATTTTAGGAACCTAACAAAATTGGTTTCATAATTTTCGGTTAACTACACAATTTATATTGAATTTACAAGTTTATCTTAGAAACTAAATTAGAAAATGCTTTAGAAAACAAAAAGGGTCGGTGGCAAGCATTCGCCCAAAGATTTCAGCCAAGGCGTGGTTGCAGACGCATAACGCCCAACGTGGCCCAAGGTCGAAGAGGTTCACATGATGACGGGCGGCTTTGCAGAAAAGCCCCCATGCTTTTAGATAATAACATGACTACTATGCGCATTATTCCTACCGTCAGTAATCTTGCAATTAAACCCTCAGATGTTTTCACCTTTACCACGGGAAGGTCCCTAGGGATCCCCGCGCGTGCCGGCGTGGTGGCCGACGGCACAAGGTGGTTACACCGGGCAACCTAGGCATGCTACAATGGAAGCAAGGGGTCGATCATCATCTACAGCTAAACGCGCAAGGATGGGTGACGGTTAGCGACTCGGAGGCGCACTGTCGTGGGCTACAGCGGCGGCGTGACTGTTCCGGTGACCCTACGCCCTCACAAAAAGGTAGAGATGGCGGAGAAGCACCAGTAGCTCACCGTGGTGTACGCCCTACTGATGGTTGAAGCAGGGGAGCACTGCGACGGTCTGGCCACGTGCGAGCCGCCAGGGCGGCGGTGCTCCGGGATGGACACCCATGCGTCACCACGTCACCGACGAGTTCCCTGGCCAAAATAGCGCGAGCACCGGATGGAGGAAGTCAAGGCGAGTTCGGGGTTATGAGCAATTGAACTGCTGTTAACCCTATGGGCCTTACCCCCAAACATATCGGCTCGACGGCGCACATGACCGACGGTGAGCAAAATCTAAAATTGGTCGCGGCCAGACCACCGCTGGACCCGACGAGAGTGGGGCATCTATCTAACTTCCTCTGCTTCTCACTGACGCGAGGAATTGAGCTAGGAAGCTTCGGGATGGTGATTAAGAAAGGGGAAGGGAGAGTGGTGCACTGCCACCGCCACGTCGCGAGAGGCGGCCCCGGTAGAGGTGGCCCGGCCACGACCCGACGAGGCACGGCAGTGCAGGGATATGACCGCACGAGCGAGGAACAGGCGGTGCATCGGTTAGCGCTTGGACGGAGCCATTGAAGGTGTGCCCGCGTGCGGCCACGCGCACGCAGCAGCACAGCGTCGCGATGCAATAAACTACGTACGACGTCGAGCTCGGGCTTGGTAGGTGGGTTGTGTGGCTGGGAATAAATGCTATAGCGGTCGGGTGAGTTAGAGGGCGTGGGATAGCACCACGAGCAGCAGCGTGGCTTGAGACAAGGAGGGCAGCGGGTGGGGCAGCCGTGCAACAGGGTGGCAGCGGCGGCCGAGGGGCGAGTGCCGAGGCCATCGACCAGCAGCAGGCGTCGTAGCCAAAGGTGGCCAAGCCACGGCCACGCCGCAGCCAAGCCGATGGCGGCCACCATCAGCCTACCCACGCACGCGCGCGGCCAGAGGTAGCCACAACGCGCACTGAACGCGGTGACCACATACTCCCGGCTGAACGTCCAGACACATGCTAAGTATGAATTTTAAAGCGTCAAAACCAACCGCTTAGAGCCCGGTTGAGATTAAAACAAGAGTTCAAAATTCCAGTAGCCACTAAGGGCTTCTCGTCCGAGCAACGAGCATGGTCGGAGAGCGAGCATTGAGGGAGATAGAGAGGTGCCAACAAGAGCTCATCACGCTGAACGCTAGTTCATGACCGAAGCCTGAAACAAGATCGACAGCGCGTTCTAACAAAGTTAGGGCAATTTCTGCGACGCCACGACAACCCCAACTCATCCGTGGACTTCACCATGCTAAAGTGCTCTCTTAGAGGCAACTAACACTACGAAATCATGAAGCTAGTGCTTAAGTGTTTTAGCTAGAATTCAATTGCTAAAATATCATTGTCTACAATCATTTTCGGATTTAGAAAAGGGCAAGAGTTTAGTTAGAACTAAACAACCACTAACATTTTTGCCAGAATTTTTAAAATATCTAAACCTTATTAATTTCAACCAACAAGCATTTCACACAATAGTCCATACTTCATACTAACCCCATAGAATTAAAACATTTAAGCACCTTTTAACTATTCTGCTCAATATAATTCACCAAAAATGGCATTTTGAACATAAGTTTAATTTCTTATCGATTTAACGAAAAGTTCTAGTTTAGATTTCCGGATTCGATTTTTGAGCTCCCAAAATACTAGTTATCAATATTTATTTTTCAAAAGTTAAAGTTGCATTTCCATCTACTAAACTTGTACTTCGATTTTTATTTAAGTACTAAATACAAGTTATATTTTATTTTTGTTTATAGGAATTATTTTTTGTGCCAAACAATTAAAATGACTTATCCCATTTTTCTCGTTAGGATTTTCATTAGCACTTTTACGCACCAAGTAAGTTAACTTGGATATTTATTTGAGTTCATAAAATTGAGTCACATAGGATTCGCTTATCATTTCACGCGCGTTATAAATTTTTAAAATCCGAAAACTTGTTAGGCTAATCATTCTCGGACCTAAATCTCGGTGCTAAGCAAGCTCGTAACACTAGGGGTGTTACAAGCGCCACCCCTTTAGGCGCCGGATCCTATTGATCCCGCTGCCATCTTCGTTGCCGTCAAGCATCAATTCGGGCCTTCTCGCGATGTCGCGCTATCTCGTCGCCCTCACCGCGCTCGCCGCTATGGAGGACGCTGGGCGTCGCCCCCATCTCGCGCTGCCGTGGTGGTGGCCCGGGCCAGGTCGATCTCGACACCGAGCCGCCATGATGGCGGCCGGCCAATCTGCGCCATCCTCACGTGACCCCGTGCGCCCCGCGCCATCCGACTCCCCGGCAGCTCGTGCCGTCGGCAGGGACGAGCCGCACCGAGGCGCACTGCCTACCAACGTGGGATGTTAGTCCTATGTACCCTATATAATCATCCCATGAGGACCCAATGCAATATATATCCAATTCCACCAATTCTATTCTCCTAAAAAAGACAGCTAGATTCGATGAATGAACATAAAAATTGTGTGTTATTACATTTCTGCCAAGAAGTGCCATCAGCGAATAAGCACTCTCACCACTCAACTTGGGGAACATCACATTCACATTGACTGGGACATTTGGTTGACTGACTAATAAACCAAGCACAAAACAAAGAAGCGTAAAGCCTGCTATGCAGGCATTGAATGTTCCCGCCATCCTCCTGCCCTAGAATGAGCACAATCATAAAATCAGAAATATATAAGATATTAAATGTCAAAAGATCATCGTGATTTTTTTGGGCATATTTAATGCTCCATGTAAACGGCTAAAAATTGATGTGATGGAGAGAGAGTGAAAAAACTTGGAATTTTGAGGGTATCTAAACAAGGCCTAAAATCAGAAATATATAAGATATTAAATGTCATCATCTTTTTGGGCAGATCTTTGGGTTAATAAATTACCAGTTAGGTGATAACATATGGCAGCAGATTAACCACAACACTTGAAAAACATACGCCAGTGATAGGATCACCATATTCAAAAACTAAGGTTGAACCAACTGCTATGCCTGAAATCTGACAGCACCAAATGTTAAATGCTTAAAAGATGGGAACCGGTTACATGTGCTGGAAGTGACTAAAAGTAGTCTAATCCATAACATGAACATATGGACGTTCCATAATGAAGTGCGGACAGAAGATGAATTTGTCCAAAGTGTGCAGACATACCAAGGTTAGTTCTCCAATAATCAAAGACAGTCCTGCCTGAAGACCAAGAACAACATTTATCGTCTGACTGTACTCCTGGTGGCAAATCTACCATTCACGTAAAAGTATCACAGGTAAGAGGTTAAGAAAATCAGAAGAATATGCTGAAAATACAAAGAAAATGTATATAACAGAGGATTATTTTCTTGATAAAATTACACATCAAACTAAAAGTTTGTTGATAGATGTGAATATCTAATACGTACTTATCTTTTTAGGTGATTTATTAAGTCAGATGACTAAAAACTAGTGACTTATAAATCATGCTTATTTAGTTGTAGATGACTTATAAACTCATTAAAGGTGTGGGTCTCACGCGAAAAAGGGTGACTTATAAGTTTTAGGGCCTGTTTGGTTTTAAATAAGTCACATACTTATAAGTTAAAAAGTGAAAAATGATTTATTTTGTCAAACACCACCAACTTATAAGTCACCCATGCTTATAAGTTTTAAGTTGGTTCACCCCTGCTTAAAACTTATAAGTCACCATTTTCGCGTGGGGCCCACACCTTTAATGAGCTTATAAGTCATCTACAACCAAACAGACATGACTTATAAATCACTGATTTTTAATCACCTGATTTAATAAGTCACCTGACTTATGGAAACCAAACAGGCCCTTAAGCAGGGGTGAACCAACTTAAAACTTATAAGCAGGGGTGACTTATAAGTCGGTGGTATTTGATAAAATGAGTTTTTTTTTACTTTTTAACTTATAAATATGTGACTTATTTGAAACAAACAGGCCCTAAGACCACCCCCAACGCTGTGGTTGTTGGCTTTGTCAGGCCACTTAGAATCGGACGAGAAAAGATAAGAAGATAGAGCTTGTTTGGTTGGTTGGTTCATATCGTTGCTGGTTCGTGAAACAATACTATTAGCTGATTTGTGTGAGAGAAAAATGCTATTTCAACTAAAAATTTACGATCGTTTACGACAAACCACGACCAAACAACGGGCTGACAGTGGCCTCGCAAGCCTGCTAGTATCCTGCATAGGACAGATATGCCTCTTCTGGTAAAATATAGGCCCCGTTTAGATCCAAAATTTTTTGGATTTTGGCTACTGTAGCATTTTCGTTTGTATTTAGTAATTAGTGTCTAAAACTAAAAAGCACGTGATGGGAGGATCTAATTTGCTCCCAACATTTGTGTAAAATTTTTTGTCATTGAAGCTACAAACAAAAGCACGTGATGGGAGGAAGGAAGTGCTCCCAACATTTGCTTTTTGTCAGGTAAAGCTGAAAAGCTTCTGAAGAGAGAGAGAGAGAGTGTTGTGTCAGTATGGGCTGCGATAGAGTGGGACTGGGAGGTGGTGGCTTCATCAGGCGCTCTACTCCTACCTGTAGGTAAGATTTTTGCTGAGCGCGTGTTCAGTTCAAAAAATACTTCTAAAAAAAGTGCTACAGTATTCGTCACATCAAATCTTACGATACGTACATGAAGTAGTAAATGTAGACGAAAAAAACTAATTACACAGTTTTGTTGAAAATCACTAGATGAACGTTTTGAACCTAATTAGTCCATAATTAAACACTATTTACCAAATAAAAATAAAAATGCTACGATACCCAAATTACAAACTTTCCTAAACTAAAACACAGCCTGAGGCTAACGCTGGTATTCGCCTACGCTGCGCTTGCTCTAAGCGGCAGATTACTAAAAAGTGAAAACCACCGGGCACCGGCTGGTGGCTAACTCGGTCCACCTTGGCACTGAGACTCTCAGAGTGATATGCCGCATTGCCTGTTTTGAAGTAGTGATGGATTTTTTTTCCTGTTTTCAATATTGTCACGTCAGTGTTAAAGGGCCCTGGGCCCTGTTATTAAATCAACTTCTGCTGATATGTACGGTTGATTTGTTGTGAGAGAAAAATACTGTTCCACGATTGATTTGTACGGATTAAAGCCAGTTGAATAGCACAAGCGAACAGAGCCCTGATTAATAAATAAAAGTCTTTAGTATAGTTTTATATGTTAGTCATATCATTAAATAGTTACATAACGTTTGAGTGGTTGTATTTTTCTAGATTTGTTCTAAAAATAAATGTTGTTAATCTTTTAGTGATAAATAACGTATTGTCAGCACTAAGACGCTTACAGCGTGTAACAAACATGAAAGGCATGGTGCACAACGAGGGTGCAAGCCACGCGTGATTGGTCAAAACTCAAAATACTGGAGATGAAACTACATTGTCGCTTACATATAGCGCATGGTAAATATGTAAGCCACGACGCACAACGAGGATGTAAATCGCACGAAGGCAATGGTGTACAGCGATGATACAATTCATCACTAGCAAATAATACCAACGGGCACGACCATGAATCTTCGCCCTGTTCATTTGGGCTGGTTTGGCTTATAAGCCATAGCTGAAAATATTGTTAGCTGGTTTGGTGTGAGAGAAAAATACTGTTTGTTGGCTGATAAGCCATGGCTCGAGCAAGCGAACAGGCTGCTCATCTCCTCTTTTTACTCAGTTTCTTTTAAAAAAAACTATACTACCTCATCACCATTGCTAATACTAATGTGACAGTATTATAAGCGAGCAGGAGGCATACCGAGATGGGCAGAGCGGTATTTGTTCGCTTGTTGCTCCTGTCTGCCTTGTGCCTTCTGAATGTTTTCTCCTCATCTCTCTCTCCAGCGCTTCAGCCTAGAGGCTACTCCTACACCGTATGTATACACTGTTGCCGACTTCTTGTTTTGCTTGTCCGTTTGTTGGTACGGGCACCCAGCGACATACAAGGGCCACTGCCTCTCACGGTCGCAGGTGGCACCGTGGCAGGCAGACCTGATCGCTGAACTTTCAAACTGGAAGCTACGAGACGAATTGATCCATCCGTGTCCATGCTGCGCCTCAGATGGATCCAAAGATCATGCTGCCTCGCGAGTCGCGACTGATGCTGCCGCCTGCCGTGCGTGCACCGGCGGAGGGAGAGCGCTCTGTTCCTCTTCAGAGAAAGAGGAGTTCGCGCGGGCGCCGCGACCAGACGAGGCACGCCGATCCCGTGCCGTGGCGCCAACGGCAGCCAGCAAGTTAGAAGAATTGTTTCCGGCAGATTGTTGCACTCGTGAACTGCAGTGCCTTTTTTCTCCCTTCGCTCGTGTCAGCTCGCTTGGCACAGCGGTAGTGTGCTGCTGCTGCAGCACTTTTGGTGCCTTGGTGCTCCTGCTAATAATAATCAAGCAATCAGCCAACCTCGTAGGCAAGCAAGGCTTGTTTTGGTGAATTTGGATTTTAGGGTTGTTATCAGAACGTTGCTCCTACTAATAATCAAAATCAAGCAATTTCAGCCAACCTTTCATCTACGCACAAACATTCGATATTGGTGTTATTAAATATTTGGTGTTATTAGTAGATAGTAGGAGTGTAGGACCACTGTCGGGATAGCTTCCTCCATTTTTTTTTTCCAATGGGAAGGCACATGGGATGACTAGGACTTGCAGTGCCATTCTTTCGAGTGTAACGCTGCGAACGAGGGCGTGGCCCAATTTTGCGTTCGTTTTTTTTCACAGGAAGGAAAGAGTTCACGTTACCTCCTTCAATTTTCGTGAAAAGACCGTTTTTTATTTATGAATTCCAAAACCGGGTAAAACATCTCCTTCAACTTTTAAAATCGTTTATCTTACCTCCCTGGCATTGTTATAAGCAGTTTTGAAAGCGGTTTTGTTTTTTTCTTTTTTATTTATTTCGGCTGAATCTTTGAAAAATCATAGTAAATCACATAAAAATCATAAAATAAAAAATTCAATTTTATTGACTCCACATGAGTAGATCTACACAGTAAATATATAATATGATATGTTTTAATACAAATTTTTTGCTATGGCTTTAGATCTATACTTTTTTGTAATTAATTAAAATAATTCATAGTTGTAGTTTCTATGGTCCAATTATGATGAAATTTTTATGGTGGACTAATTATTATATGATTAAACTGTAATAAAAATTTCATACTCATTGGATCATGTATAGCTTAGTTATAGATTTTATTTATTTTTACTACATTTTAAGAATACAAGAATTAGCCCACTATAAAAATTTCACCACAATTGGACCATAGAAACTACAGTTATGAATTATTCCATTTAATTATAGAAAAACATAGATCTAAAGTTATAACAAAAACTTTATACTAAAGTATACCATATTATATGTTCACTGTATAGATCTACTCACGTGGAGTCCAACAAAATTAGATTTTTAATTTTATAATTTTTTATGATTTACTATGATTTTTCAAAGATTCAGCCGAAATAAATAAAAAAACAAAACTGTTTAAAAACTGCTTATAACAGAGACCAGGGAGGTAAGATGAACGGTTTTAAAAGTTGAGGGAGGTGTTTTGCTCGGTTTTGAAGTTCAGGGAGGAAAAATGAACTTTCGCAAAAAGTTGAGGGAGGTAATGTGGACTTTTTCCTTATAAGAAATATTGCGTTTGGTTATTAAGGTCCCATTTGGTATATCAACATCACCTGCTCGTGTAGCCATTTAAAACAGTTTTGCGTCAAACAAGATAAAATCAAACAACTTCACTCAAACTACTTCCAAAACCCACTGAGACAAAGGATAAGTGAGGGTAAAATTGGAGATAGCAGCTTCACCTAGCTCTACCTCGCCCTAGTGGGCCTAACAAGGACAGAGGGCCATTTTGCCCCGCACTGAGAAGAAGATGCACACACGACATGACCAACTGGGGTACATGGCCGCCGGGGCACTGTCGCAGAACCGACCAATTTATAAGAGCACAAGTACAATGTCAACCACCGGAGCGGTCGCGCTGTCATACTTGAGTCCATATAAACCCGGTAGTCCGTCGAGTATCACGAAGGACCTCGAAACATCCAACATACAAAACAAGATCGTATATGATTTAACATCCATGTCATATGTTACATAAAATTCACAAATAGTTCATCGTACATTGGAGTTCAAATATAAATATTACAACACTAAGTTCAACTGCAGTAGCGGAAGCAATATAATTTTGAAAACATCATCACGCACACGTTTCAAATACATGCCAGTTCATGATCAAGTCCGACAAAAGCATCATAGGTAAGACAACACAGAAGGGCCGTGCCTGTGGCCTCGCTTCTCGTCCACGGCTGGAGAGAAGCAGTTCTTACAGTACCCATGATACACTGTACCATCTGCAACAAGTGGAAAATAAACCCTGAGTACGAGAAGGTACTCAGCTAGACTTACCCGTCATAAACCAAAAATAAAAAGACACCAAGAATTATGCAAGGCTGTAGAAGGTAGAGCTGGCTTGATAACATTTTGCATAAAAGCTGAAGTAATACATGTCTTGATCTGTTTAGTTATTCGAACAACAAGTTATACTTATTAAACTTAAGCACGTCTAGGTTAGCACCTGTACTAGAGCAATCACTTGATTTAAGCTAAAGCAAACAGTAGTAACCATATCCGGTGCAATATTTTCCTATTTATCATAACCATCACAATCCATCAAGTTACAACGACGAAGGGGCTCAATCAAGTTTCTCACTATCCAGGAGAGACGATGATTCAAATCGATTGCAACCAGCTGGGCAAAAATCCTAACACAAAACCAGACATACCTGCACCAAGGTAGTCTTAGGTCACCTTTAGTATAACTCAGGTCGTATGTCACGGGTTCGATCAGCGCCTCACACTCAGGGACCGACCTCTTGTCGATATTTTACCACCGATAGCCTGCCACGGGGGTACCCGGGACAGTTGTTCGGGCTTTGGCGAATAGCGGAATTCAGCGATTACGCAAAGAGACTCACGATTTATACTAGTTCAGGCCCTCGACTTGGTCGAGTAATAACCTTACATCCATTTTTGGCGTTAGCCTATTTGCGTTGTATTGCTTTGAGTATCGGGTATACGTTCTCTTCTTACAATGGGTACCCTCACTGACCCCTTTATAGTCCGGTATGAGAGGCGTTGTTTGTGTCCTATTCGGATACAAGGTCAGAGTCCTAAGCTACGCTTCAGGCGCCTTTCCTTGTATAGTTTGCGTTGGAGTTTCGGTTTTGCACGTTGCTTTGCTTCGCGTTCTTCTTGCGCGATTGTAGGCCTTGTTACCTAGGCCTTGTCCCCGAGCATTTCATGATTGAGCATTTCATGATTGAGCTTCAAGGGACGAGTTGTTGTAGTCTTGATCCGGATCCTTCTTGAAGTGAAATCTTGATATGGTCTTCTTTGATTCTTCTTTTGGGTGATGTGCACTTTTGCTTGATGTCCTCTCGGGTTTTTTTTCCTTTGAGGCAATGAGTGCAATTTTGCAAAATTGCACTCATTGAGTGTAGCCCTTGAGCCTTTCTGTTTTTTTGGTACAAAAAGCTAGAAGGTCAAAAATTTGAAAATATGTTTTTTGGTGGTAGGTACTTGCAGCCTTTCGAGCCTTCTTCGGGTTCTTTTTCTCATTGAAAAGAAGCCGTAAGAAGGGTCTTGATTTGTACTCCTTTGATCTTTGTCTTTTCTTTGGTTCACGGATTGGTCTTGTATAGCCATGAGTGAGCGTCTTTTTTACTTTTTTGTCGAATCTTGCTTTTGGGTACTATTTGCCTTTGTTGCTTTGCTCTTTTGTTCTTTTCCTCTCTCTTTTTTGTGATCTTTAGCTTGTTTTACCTCTGGATTGCTATAAATACCTTCTTTGTTGGTTGTGGTTCTACCTTGAGTAGGAAAATTCATCTTCAATTCTTTCTTCATTCGTAGATATGCTGGTGTGTGAGGTTGAGCAGCCCCCGGGCTTATGCTTGGTTGGTAATGATCATGCTGCTCTATCTGTTCTTCTACGTCCGAGCTGTCGTTGCTGCCGCCACTAGGTTCCTTGTTGCAATATTTAAGAATCTTGTCTCTATCTTATGTTCTCGAGTTTATCCGGTCCTGTTTGACCGCTCAGTAACCTTTGTATTTGTCTTCGATCAATGAGATTTATAATTTTCTCCGTCCGAGTTTTTTTCAACCGTAATCCTTTGACATCTGTAATTTTGTATGTGATCCTTCACACGTCTCCGATTTGTTTGTTCTACCGCTTATTGTCTGTTGTTATTTCGTTGTTGAAGAATTCAATGTGTCTTCACGGGTTGTATTTTTCTTTGTGGAATATTCTCTTAGATATGCTTTATCTTGTACTTGTGGTTGTTACGGGTATGTACTTGTTCCTTCGTGATGGTCTAGTCACATCTGATTTTTTCTTGAAGTCCCGGCTCTCAAATGGTTCACATGGTTGTCCTTTTGGAGTTCTTTTTTCTTCCATGAGTCTGGCATATGTGCATCTGAGTTGTGCTATAAATATGGCCTGTTGCTGATACCCTGCTGTGCAGTTTCTTCTTCTTCTTTTTGTAGTCATGGATATTATAGTTTGGGAGCTCGATGAGCCCCCGGGCCTGTTCTCTTTCTTCTGTTTTCTTCTGCTAGTAAATGGTGTAGGTCTTGTGATAGAGACTAGTAGCAGGCTAGTCTCGAGGTGGTATTTAGCTATAAGGGATATTGAGGCAAATGGTGTAGGACTTGTGATGTGAGTGATGCATGTTGCATTGCCTCATCTTCTAGTGCCTGCCCTTTCTTTTTTGTTCTTCTTACAGTGATGATTGGCGCGTGTTGCAGCTTGTTCTTCGACAGTCCATTGTAGATCAGCCATTATTCGGTCTTCTGCTGTGCCAATTAGGTTCAGTCCAATACAGATCAGCACGTGTTGAGAGATGGTGCCGGGTTCTTCCATATTGACATGGTTGTCGTTGTCAATCTTGGATGACTTGTGGGTGCCTTCTCTGTCACCTATAGCAATCTTGGATGTGCGCCCTTCCTTTGGAGAAAAGTACGTTCGAGTTGTTTTATCCTGCCTGGTAA